CGAACTGTAAACGAGAATGTGCACCGTAGCCTTGTATAGCAGTACCTTTACCTTGTAAATTTACAGTGTACCTATAACTGTCTATGAGGCTGTTCTCATTCAAGTACATCCCCACTAGATAACCTGCATTTATTCAGGGATACCATTGTAATTCTGCAGTTAAACCTTACAATGTCAATATACATGTAACACAGAGTTACCTTATGAATAAAACTTTATTTATAGAGAGCAGTTTAGGACATAAGATCAGCTTCCCTACCTCACTGTCATCGTTCTAGAATTCTCTTTAAGGTGATTAAAGCAGTTTCTAATGAATAGTTAACTCTTTCCGTTTCCCAATCAGACTGTGTCATCTCCCATCTGATTTCCTTGTCCTGCCCTCCATAAAAAAATATCCCTGTTGTCTGAAATATGTTGTATCTGTTTTTTTCCAGCGTGTTTTATCTCCTGCCAAAGTAACCTGTAATCTATCCATAACTTCAGGCCAGTTTCCAAACTGTCTCCTTATCTGACTTTCAGGAAAAATTAAAATTGATCAGCTAATTTAACAGCCTCCTGTCTGCCCTTTAAAGCATTTCATAGCAGAGACAGCTCATACTCCTTTTTAGAATTTAGGTTAGTCTTTGATACTGTGAATCACATTGTCTTCCTCCATCATTTAGAGCAGACAATAACAATCACTTCTAACAAAACATTTTCATTCACTGTGAATAAGTAATCTCTCAGTGCTTACTGGAGGTGTACCACTAGGCTTACTGCTCTACCCTTTGACCCTTATGTCCATTCCCATTTTACTCTCAGTCCTTACATCGTGATAAAAAACCTCACAGATTCCAGCAGCCATGTGGGACCTTTTTCACTGAAACTGATCAAAATAAAGATGACTGAAATAGGACATGTGATGATTATTATGTTCCTACTAAGTATCACTGAAACTGAGAACAGGCTGTGTCAGAGGTGTAAAGATCAGCACACACACGCACTCACTCTGTGTTTATAAATGAGGATTAGAACGATGCTCCTTGATCTCAAGAAGCTAAGTTTGTAAATGGCTGATGTGGTGATGAAACTTAACAACATCGAGTTAATCCCCTGATCTGAGGTCACATTGGAATGTTTCCAGGTAGACCACAGACACATCTACACCATATGTGTTTTGAAATTTCATGGCTCACTTCCTTGTACTAAAAATAATCTTGTGGAATGTTCTGGACACGATACCACAAGAAAAGCCATCAGATGAGACACGCACACTGTCTTGTGTTACAGATGGATAATGTTGAAATTCCACATCCATTGCACATTGAGCTCTGTGCTTTTTCTGCCAAATGGCCTGTGCTGTGGAATGAAGCAAGAACTCTTTGTCCCTTTGGAGTACGGGTCACATCTAGCTGGCTGACACTTTTAACATTTTAATGCTGGAATATTTCTGCTTGAGAGTAATATTAGTCCTGATAATGTTATTTGGATAGATAGGGATGAAAGGAATCTGCACCTTTGTGATGTTTTTTCAAGCCAGATATCACAAATAGCTTTTTTCAAGGAAAAATACACTAAATTGACCATGACACTGCATTAAAGTGCTCCAGTTCATACAGAGTCAGTTGAAACAAAGGTTTCCTGATTTAAGGAAACCCTCAGATTTCCCCATAAGGTCTCTGATTAAATCCCATAATCTCAGGCTACAGAAGTTGAAACTCCCTGTAACCAGGACGAAACCTCCATCATAACCAGAAAGGTTGTCCAGGTAGAGGTTTTTGTTTGTTTCACCCAAACAGCCAGCTAGTTCCATTAAGAAGGGCATGATCATTTAAGGTTCTGTCCCCCTTTCTACCATAAGTAGACATGCAGTCTAGTGTAGGATTTTCCTTTGCAATCATAGGCTAAGAAACCAGTTGTTTAACGCAACTTTAAGTAAGTTAAAGCCCTCCATGCCACACACACAATATATTTATAAGCTTTTATCCCTAAAAGTACTCAGTTCACATGTCAAAGTGTTCAAAGGTAAAATTCAGAATCCTACATTGTGACTATAAATATTCCTGATAAATACATTCATTCATTTTAAAAAAAGTTTTACTTTTTTAAAAATAATTGAGATATGCACAGATTTTTAGTCTGGTTACTGATGATCTCTATCAGTGTGTCATTTTTTTCTCTTATCTCTCTTTTGCACAGGAATGACTATACCAGAAGAAGACACAGAGGCAGGCCAGACAGGAAAGTACTGCCTGGTGGCAATTGGGAGACTGCAGGTGTGTGCGTCAGTGGAGCTCTTTCTTTCTTCTTCTAAAAGGATTTTGTGCCCAGCAGCTTTCTCTCCTTTCTCACATTTGGGGGTTTTCCACCGGGTGCTTGGCTCTGCGTTTTGTTTGTTTATGTGCTTTTGTTTTTTAGTTGTTGTTTTTTGCATTTCCATTAGAGGAGGGGGCTGAGCTCCTACTCAAATTGGGTTCCAAGCGGGCTAAATAGTGCCAGTTGGAGACAGGCCACTGATTGGCTAGGAAATCACACAACTCCTTCAGAAAAACCTTGCATTTTTTAAATATTTTGCAAAAGTAATTCCATTCCATTATTTCTGTCATTATCAACATCATAAATTCCTAATACATGAACTGAAGTTGCAGTGGAGGTTTAGCTATTGTTGGCATGTTGTTGCCACAACGTCATTTATTGTGTCGTGTCATTAGTGGTTAGATGATTAGTTCGGCTTTCTGTCAGGATCTCAATTGTAATGGAAAACCACCTAAACCAAGTAGTAGCAAGGCAAGAGGTGCCGAGTAGTACTCAGTAGATACAAATGGATAACCCCCATGTATTTTTCTTCAAGCCTTTTAAATCTCTCATTTGTTAAACTGCTTTTTGTTATTGAAATACCTTTTTCAGTGGGGTGCCTTGTTTAGATCGGTACCTCACCGCTGTCCTTATCCCTAACACCCCTTTCCTGTAAGATGGAAGCCAAAGAGCTTTTCCTCAATAAATATATATAGATCCCTTATTTAGGTTCCACGTGTCCATGTCTGGGATATAATAAAGTCAACAGGTTTGAGGTGAACATGAGTTCATCTGGGAATTGTTGGGTTTCTATAGTTAACTTAAGAGTAGGGTGTGACCTGCTCTGTTTGGAAAGCGCTGTGAGACAACTGTTGTTGTGATGTGGCGCTATATAAATGAAATTGAATTGAATTGAATTGAATCTGACCCCACTTTGATGTTACACTGTGACATAGAAGTTGCATCATATCCTCCAGGTGGAGTGTTTTTACAACAAAAATCCTATCTGGTTTCTTCAATACAGACAGTTGCATGGTGTGAAATATTGTTTGGAATCGGAGCATTCCCACTTTTCACAGGGGGAATCTTAGGTCTATACCAGGAATCATCATGAAGATGCATCATGTCACATTTTTCAAATGGCCCCTGAGTGCACCCAGGCTGGTATATACTAGTGGTTGTTGATGCTCTATGTTTTTTGTTGCCAGATATAAAATAATAAACATCTGGGGAAAGTTATGTCTAATGGGACCTTTTAGACCCAATCTGCCCATTATTATTATGGTTCAGAGGGAAACTCGGTCATCCCTCTCTGTGGATTACAGCTTCTCCTGGGGGATCCTAAGTTTTTGCCAGAAGAAGGCATCCTAACCCGATGAACTCCCAGCCGTCTTCTTTCTATATGCTCTACTCTGAGTTCCCTCTGGATGAAGGAGCTCTGTCCTGTAACTCACAGACTGAGCCCAGCCACCTCCTGAAGGAAAATTATTTCAGCTGATTGCTCCAATAACCTCATTCTTTGGGTCGCTAGTCAAATCTGTCACCAAAGATGAGGGTTGGACCAAAGATTTAGCAGTAACCTGAAAGCTTCTCCTTTCTAGCTGAGATCCCTCTGAACTACAACTGACTGGGGCAGTGCCCTTTTTACTGACCATGCCCTAATCCATCTCTGACTCCAAGTCACCATCACTGAGAACAAGATCCAGACATGAAACCCCAAATTAGCATTTCATCTTTTTCCAGTTGAGAGCTGACTGTCCTCTTGGTGGCTTCTCACTCAGCATTGAAGTGCTCCAGTACACACTAAAGGTCTTGGCCTAAAGAATCCAACAAAACCACATCCTCTACAAAAACACAGACAGGATATTTTCTGAACCTTTCACACTACCCATTCTCTCTTCCATACTTGATTACTTAAAACTGAAAATAAACTAAGACCCAGCAGCAATAAAAGGTGAAAGCTGTGCTATTCATGGTGAATTCATTCTCAGAGTTCTCTTACTTGATCGGGTGTTTGGAGTTTTTTTTTTTGCAACCATCCTCCAGCATGGCTCTTTGATTTAGCCTGACTGTGCTCCTCCCTCAGGTAACCAGTTCTCCAGTCTCCATGGACATGAATGGGCTGTCGGTGCCCACAGAGTTCCTATCACGTCACAACTCAGATGGTGTCATCACCTTTGTGGACCCACGCTGCATCAACGTCATTGGTTACCAGCCTCAGGTCAGATCAAGTGCCTAGCATTGTAAAGAGGAGTGATTAATAAGGACCACAGTGTCAATGTGAGATTCAGTTAGCAAAGTTGTAGTAACCAGCAGTAACGGTCAGCATTATGGTTAGTTAGGAATGAGCCTGAAAACCCATAATTTCCAACTGGGTTACAGGTACCTCTCAGCTCTACCATCAAACAGCTAGTAAAGAAACAGGTTCTTTACAAATTAATTAGACCAAATAACTGAGGCAAAAAGATTCATTTTTAAGACCACTGTAAAGCATCAAAGTAAACAGAGAAGTAAAAGTTAAATGGATGGTACATGGATAATGATTGTAAATACTAAATATATATTTTAAAAAGAAGTAGATCCCAGTAAAACCAATAATTATGAATAGGTTTTTTTCGGGTAGTATAATAAATGCTCTGCATCACTGATTTCACAGTCCATTCCAGTCCCACTGAATCTAGGATCAACAAAGACCAGCGTGCAAAGAAATCTTACTCTGTATGAGAGGGAAAAGTAAGGGTATTTAATGTTGGTACGAGATGGGCCAGTCAAGGTTTTGTCTCTTATGAGAGAGATTTTAAAATGTATAAACTTTACAGGCAGCTAATATGGAGAGGGCAAAAATGGAGAGGTTGGTTCTCTCCTGAAAATACCAGTCAGAACTCTGACCGTAGCATTTCGGGTCATCATAATATTGACAACCAGCATCTGGGACAAGATTCTCCTTATTATGCATAACGTGCAACGATAATGTTACCCAGAAGATGGTAGCTCAAAATACTTGTCTAATGTGATGATTAAGACAAATCCAGGTCAGAAAATCTCAGATACTTTCTCACAATATGGTTGGAGGCCATGGCATGGACATAAAGACTAACTGAATGTTGAGACGGTGACGCCAAGGTTTTTTAGTATTTCTGAAATTAAAATGTTTGAAATCATAGCGTGTCTTAAAGACAAGCCTATAACCTTGGTAACTGCTTCTGTCCAACAAGTACATAGAGCTGGGTATCATTAGCATGGCAAGGTAAATTCAAATAATCTTTCCTTATGATATTGCCCAGAGGTGGCACGTATAGGAAACTAGTCTTTTTCCAGAACTCTGTGAAGCACCATAACACACAGGTATGTAGAGAAGACACCACTCTGTCAGCATCTGTTTGATTATCCTATGGCTTAAACCAGTATGAAGCATTGATCTTGTTGAAACATTCAAGTCTGAATAAATCTGTCTTTACTTATCCAGGAAAAGCTGTTGTGAACTAACTTTTGCTCTATGCTTCAGGATTTGTTAGGGAAAGACATTCTGGATTTCTGCCATCCTGAAGACCAGAATCACTTGAGAGAAAGTTTTCAGCAGGTAGGACTGGACCATGGCTGTTAGTCTGACCCTATGCAGAGAAATTGTGTTGTGAAGATTTGAGGACATGCCAGGCTGACTGAGTGTTTTTAGTTTATGCTTCCCCACAGACGTCTAAGCAACCTAGCTTCTTGGAGACTTTGTATAGCATGTGGTGAAATGTCCTGTTACTTCAAATCTTAGATATGAGCAGGATTTACATTATTTACCATGACTAAACTTGTAAGTCCTGTGCGTACTGACAGTGATTTCAGCCAGCTGGGTATCAGGGAAATGTCATGAGCAGTAGAATGAATGAATGTCTCCCTGATTGCAGGTGGTGAAGCTCAAGGGTCAGGTCCTTTCTGTGATGTATCGCTTCCGGATAAAGAACAGGGAGTGGATGCTGATCCGAACAAGCAGCTTCACCTTCCAGAACCCATACTCCGACGAGATTGAGTACATCATCTGCACCAACACCAACGTCAAGTAGGTTCTTCATGCATTCCTGTTTGCATGACTTCTTTTAACACAGCTTTGATGGAACACAGCTGGATAGAACGGTGATTTAACTCCATTATTGGCTAAGGGGAAGATCAGCTGCAGGTCAGGGTGATTGCCTGTACCTCCTTTGTTCACACTGCTCATGATGCCCAGAAAAGATGTGCCACGTCCAGTTTAAGAGATAGATATGAATGAGGCTTTGTTTTCACTCTCACTCCTTTGAGCACGCTGAATATATAGCAAAACACTTACCTGGCACTGACTTCTCTGAGCCTTTTAAATCGCATATTTTAGAATGCACATTCAGAATGGCATCCAATAATTAGCCTCAAGATATGGACAGTCAGTCGGCTATATGAACGTCTAGATTTAAATATTGCAGTTAAATCTGACTTAATCAAACTTTTTCACAACTCGGGCAACCATTTACCTGCAGAGAAAGCTCAGGACATTTGCTTCAATGTTAGAAGTCAGGTTTTTTAAAGCAACCTTGGCAGAAGTTCTGGTCCTCTCCTTTGAGGTTCACAGCGCTGAAAACGGAGAGCTCCTTCCCCTTTCCTCTCTTCACTCAGTTTTAATGCTTTATTAAAATCAGTTGCTAAAAGCTGACTCATATCCACACTTTTCACTAACCAAACAGGCAGAAATTTTTTTCAGGGAATGTTGATGGTCGGGATGACCATCCTCTTTGACTCCTGTCTTTTGATTAGTCCCAATGTTTCAGTGTGGACAGAGCTAGCATGCACCTTCCCAGGTGTTCCTCTCTGTGTTGGACCAGAATTTGGCTTTGTTTACCCACAACCACTTCTTTCTTACTTGGCTAAACTTCCAGGGCAGAAAACACCAAGAGGGCGTTGCTATTTTATGTGTGTTTCACCACACAACACAGACTGCTTACCTCTGCAGCCAATGATCTTTAAGATCTGTGCCCCAATCTTTTTACTGTCAACTGGAAGCTTCACTGACACAGATTATAATCCTCCAGACCAGATTAATTTAAGTGAGCACCCTGCCACCATCCTGGAATGAATCATTCTCCTGTTTCACTCTGTGTTACTGAACTGAGCCTTTATAAGGGACAATGGGTCTATGAATGTGGTGTGATCACTGCAGGTCCATAGTCAGTGTATCTGTTCCTCCATAACCATATGAAATTCTGATCACATCATCCAGAAACCATTAGTCAAACTTCCATTTTCTACACCTACTCATCCCAAATCAGGGCCATGGAGAGATTCATTTGATACATTTTCTGTAGACTCTGTATACTTCCTGTACCCATTTTATCACACTTAGTTTAGTCGAGTGTTTTTAGACTTTCTGTCAGTCTCCAGAGTTTGATTTGAGATTTATATTTCTGTGAGGCTGACGGTGTTTACGTGTTTGACTTTGCAGGCAGTTACAACAACAGCAGGCAGAGCTTGAGGTTCACCAGAGAGATGGTCTGACAGCCTACGATCTTTCCTCAGTAAGCTTCTTTACACCCCGCTCCAGACAGATTTGGATGCTTTCTAAAATAATAATTGTAAATGGTTTGAGCAGTCATTTAACAAAATAGTTTTCTCAATGGTGAGCTAGCTAACCACTTTTGAGACAAACTCTATTAAAGGATTCATCAGTTGGTCAGAAAATCTTTTTCAGAGTCATGTTTTAAAGAACTCCAGTCTTTGAGCATCTGCAGAGCATAACATTGTGGAATTATTTATGAAGCCTGGGAAAAACTTAGTATATAGGGGAAGGAAAGAAACCACTGTTGGAGGATCTTGGAGCACTGCCTGCCAATCAGCTGAAATTTGGGATTGAGTAGAAATGGCCACAAATTCTATGAAAAACTGCAGTAGTAAGTAACCGTTAGTAAGCGTTATTAAAAGAAGCTTATGGAACACAATGGAGAAAGACAACTAAAGCTATTTTTTCTCTGAGTTTTATCTGCTTAACATTCTACTTCATTATTTCCGGTTTCTGAACACAGAAATGGTCAATGAAAACTCAGAAAATAATTTATTTTGTGTGAAGTTGGGTTTAGGTTCTCTCCACAAGAACTTAACCTTTGTATAAACTAATTGCTTCCTATGCACAAGCTTTCTCAATTGGCGTTTTAATTAAAGCTTGATGACAGGTCAGGGCTAAACTAACACGAACAAACCACGGAGGGGCTGCAACCTGTGGCAGGCATTTTAATGCTGCCTCTTCACACGTCTAATACTTAAATGTTTGTGTGGCCCTGGTATTACTTGTATCTATCGACGTGTGCTGCATCCTGCAGTCAACAGCCAGCATAAAACTTGTGCCTCCACCATCAGGTACCTGTGGCGAGTGTCAGCAGTGGAGTGCATGAGGCAGGGAAGGCCATCGACAAGACCGAGGCTTTGTTCTCCCAGGAAAGAGACCCACGCTTTGCGGACATGTACACCGGCATCTCTGGCTGTATGACACACACACTTGTCCACAGACAGTGTGCATCCATACTGTGTAATCTTTTGGATTATCTACTGTGTTGTTTGATGTCTGACTGTGTCATTTGTCTGTGCTTTTGTGTAGCGGGGGATAAAAAGATGATGGTTCCCTCTTCCACTGCAGGAGCACAGCCGCTCTACTCGCAGAACTCTCCCTTCCAACAGGGGCACTCTGGAAAAACTTTCAGGTACATATGTGGGTAGGTTTTTATCCAAACCTGACTCCAAAAGCTCCACTCATTGTCTGCGTGCGTTTGTGTGCACACAGTTCCTCTGTGGTCCATGTTCCAGGGGTGAGTGACATCCAGCCCTCGGGCTCATCCAATCAGAACCTAGCTCAAATCTCCAGACAGATCAACCAAGGCCAGGTGGCATGGTCTGGCAGCCGCCCACCCTTCTCCGGACAGGTATCACACAGCCTGGTCATATCATGGACAGTGTACATCACAGCAGGCTTATTCCCAGCTCATTCCCTGTTCTTTGGCGGTTGGCCTTTTCATTGCTTGTCAGTAAAGCCTACTACTGATAACGGCCAGTGTTGTATGCGTTACTGAGAACCAAGCCCACGTTCCATCCCGTTTTCTGGACCAGAGGTTCTTGGTTCCACAAAGTGCTCCACAGCATGCTCATGAACCCCATTTTAAGCAGGATAGGCCTGGATTCAAGGTTCTGATTCTGTTCAGGACATGTCATGTTCTGACACCATCCTACTTTTCAATGTAAAACTGTCACCATAGTTTTCAGTCACACTCCTTCTGAGGAAGCTCATTCAGTATTAACGTCTGTGTGTGTAAACACTCATTTTTCCCATGTGGACCAACTGCACACCAGATATTGTGAGTGTATCCAGGCATAAGAAGATCTTAAGCAATGTTATTTCATAATCTGCTGAAAACATTTCAGCCAACTTTTCCATTCTCCCCATCTGGCTCAAATTACTGTGATCCATTTAGAAGTTGGTGAACAACATAGACTTCAGCCGCATGACCTTTGGAGTGCAGTAGTGCGCGTGGTGGACAGATGTTTCAAACATGTGCTGCACATTCCTGAATAGGAACCACACAACAATTCAGACCAGCTTGTTTTCGTCTTCAGTCTCCTTTGCAAGGGAAAAAGCCTGGTGCTGATGAGGCACCAGATGAGGCTCTGACGTTTGTCAGGCTGTCCACAATGGCCGTAGGTTAACGCAAGGCCTTAATATGTAAGGTTTGTGTGTACTCACTCCACTCATAAAGCATGTAGGGGGAAGCAGCCAGCTTTGATCTAAGATATGATAACAACCCACCTTGCTGAGCACCCATTGCAGGTGAAGCTGTGCAAGTCCTAGAGGATTAGATGATGTTTCATGAAAAGATATATATATATATATGTAAAGGCTTTGGAAACTAAACTGAGTTTTTTTTAGGTTCACCGTGCCACCTGAATGTTTCTGATACTCAAATATGCTGCTGACTAACAGGAACTGACGCAAAGCATTTTTATTGATTCAGATCAGTGAACTTTCAGCATTTTTGTGTGTGACTGTCAGTGTACCAAACTCAGAACATTAGGAGATATATGTACGTATGTTCATATCCACATGACCTGAGAACAGCTAAAATGCCTTTTTCTGGAACATTTCAAACACCGATGAAAGAAAATCAGCTCAGACTTTTTACTGGTTTTCTTTTTGTTCTTTATTTTCAGCAGACAGCATTTAAAACAGCTACCTACTACTTTCTTCTTTCATACAAATATAAGCAGCAACCATCCCAAAAGGATGAACTCCATATGTCTCAGCTGTGCAGAGCTTTGGCCTGAAATCTCCCCCTACATCGCTGCATTATTTCTGTTTCTGTTCAAAATAGCCAAATCTGCCCTGAATTGAGTCGGCCCTGCGTCTCACTGAACCTTCAGCAGGCTGTAAAGCCTTTTAAATTATGTAATTTAACCAGTACCTGTCTTCTCCAGTCCAATAAAGCTCAGTCCAGTCCATTTGGGATTGGCTCTGGCCACAGCTATCAGACTGACCCAGCCTCCTACAGCCCACTGTCGTCCCCAGCGACCTCCTCCCCTAGTGGGAATGCCTATTCAGGCCTGACCAGCCGCAGCACAGCTTTTGGTAAGATGGTCTCTGTAATGTAGAGGCATCACAACAGCAGAAAATAAGTGCATTAAAAATATATGCATGCTTCAGATGTTCCAGGGGAAAGTGGTCAAAGTGGAGCCCAGTTCCAGGGTCGTCCCAGTGAGGTCTGGTCTCAGTGGCAGAACCAGCATCACTCCCAGCAGGCTGGGGAGCAGCACACACACACCAACCCCAGTCAGACAGAAGTCTTCCAGGTAAGGTACAACCTGACAGTTGATGCTTCACCACTGAGCAAGGGACCCCATGTGACCCATCTGCCTGTCTCTGCAGGACATGTTACCCATGGCTGGAGATCCCACCCAGGGAACGGCTAACTATAACATCGAGGACTTTGCTGACCTCGGCATGTTCCCAAACTTCTCTGAGTAGCTCCAGCCTCTCTGCAGCACTCCTCCTCTCAAAGCTGGACTTGTGTGCTTCGTTTTTGTGTCGCTGGTCCACCAGCACGCAGCCATAAGGAGTATCATCACCCACATCCTGCCACAGTGTTGGCCTGCTACCATACACATACCTCATCAGTCAGCCCTGTTTGTTGTCACGGCGACGGAGACAATCGTTGTCAGTCTTGCTGTCTGACATCGCATCCTGTCAGATCAGAGACATTGTGTCCTCAGTTAACTAAAGGGTGCTCTGCTGTCAACAGCTATGGCTCCCGCTCAGTCCAGCAGTGACACATTGTCCTCAGCTCTTACTAAATGTAAAAGTGCTACAGACAGGGTGCCGATGCTTTGAGATTTTAGTTTCTTTTCAGCTTCAAGCTCTGTGTGGATCACATGACCTACAGTAATGTTTAACGTCTGTGTGCCATATCTGTTATCTTTGACCTCTTCCTTTAGACTTTCTTTCCTGTCCCCACACCTTCAAGATTGGTTAGTGTGTTTTACACAATATGACAGACACCAGGCTGCTCCCTCTCTGATGGCTGACTGTCTTTTCGATTGACTCATCCTGTCCCACAATTCACACTGATATATGTGAAGGTCCAAAGAGCTGGTTCTGTTGGACCAAACTATTCAGTAAGGGTGATATAGATCTTCCAGAGCCAGGATCCCTGCCATGCATCTTAGTTTGGAATCAAACTGAAACCCTTTTAGTGGAATTTGGGAGTTTCTCCAGATTGATAGATTCTGCACAACCTGTTTTTTTTCTTAATGTCTTAAGTGATACTTCACATTTAGCAACGATTAAATCACTGCCTCTGAACACTAAGACAGATTTGACTTTTAAAGCATATTTCTTTAATGGGAAGGATCGGGAAGAGCTCGGTATATGTTTTTTTTAGCTATATCATCTCACAGTACGTGCTGCTTTCTTTCATCAGCTCTCGGCAGCATTCCCTTCCCACTGGAAGGAGTCAGAAGGAGCTTGTAACAGTAGCTCTGTGAACTCCATCATGTTGGCATTCAGCCATCCCTGAGGGTGCACAAAACGATGTGCTTCATCAACCTGTTCCCACCAACATGTATACAGGTGTGTGTATGTGTTTGCTGCAGCACTGTGTACACCATCTCCCCCTCTGTAAAGAGCAGCAGAAGAAGGTCTGTTGCCATCGTCGTGCTCTCATTAACCTTGTTGTGTCTCATGAATGTAGTGATGTCCTGAGCTGTAAAAAGAATAGGTCTCTGTACATAAAACAAAAAAGAAAGCTGAGCTAAAAGTGCACTTCATAAAGCTAAGCGCTAATCACAGCAGCCTGCTTTCAAATGGAAAAGATGCAGCAGTATTCAATAGTATAGACTGTTTGCTGTCTCCAGCTCTCACCACTTGACTCTCTTCTTTTCTAATATTTTGAACAATGAGAAGGCTGAAAAATTATTTCATGTGGGGCTTTTACATCATGGATTGTATGACTTGTATGGCAAATGAGAAAACCCTCAAATATCACAGTCCTTTTGCTAAAGATCTCAAATTGGTGTATTTGTTTTTTGTAAATAATGTGATTTTTATGTCGACTAGTGTTACTTTCACACAGTACATTTTTGTGTAGGTCCTAATGATATTGTGTGCACTGTGAGTATGTATTTAACTATTGGTATTTAGTTAGCTGATTCATGTACACTGAGTTGTAGACCTGTATAAACTGTGCAAATGTGACTCATTCTTTTGTGTAACAAACTGTCCGTGGCAATAAATTCCTCCTAGCTTTGGGGTGTCCATTCAAATTTTTCAGTGACTACATTTTTTTTTTTTTTTCCATCATCACCAAAGCTTTTAATCAGTAACTGGTAGCCTGTAGCAAAACTAAAATAATGATATTCAGTGTCTATTTGGCTTTGGTTCTGAAACCTTTCCTTCAGTTTATTCAGAATCAGCTAAAAGTGAGGAATATAATCAGGCATACAGAGCAAGTACATCATCAGATAGACTGTGATTATGACAGCAACAGCATATAAAACCTAATATGCATGTATATAAATGCATGTGTGTATATATACGTGATGGTGTGACTGAATATACAGTACATGTTTTTAGAATCATATTTTATTGCTTATATTTGTACTATTTTATGGGTTTTATAAATGATTACACTGGTCTTCTATTTACTCTTCTATATAAAACCTATTGTAAGTGAAGTTATTTGAAATTGCTTTATAGATTAATAGAACAGAATACTTTATTGATCCCACAGTGGGGGAAATTTACACGTTACAGCAGAAGGAGCAAAAAAGGAAAGCTGGTATGGATGGACATCACTTTCAACAAAACAACCATTCATCAGCCCAACCAGAGGACACTCTTCAATGAAACCCAGGGAGTCTGTGTGTAGATTTGGATATGTACTCTAGGCTACAAGGCATGAAGATGATTAAAAACAGCTAGGCTTGTAAAATCCACAGTCAAGTTACTAACAATAATCCTCACAAGGTCCTCACCACCAGTTAACACTTCCGTCATTAACTGGGAGGTTTAGGTTTTTCATGTCGGGTTTTGGAATTTCTAGAATTTTTTTTATATTTAACTAGTTTATTTTTATTTTGGTGTCTATTCTAGTTTCCTGTTTCCCGCATCTCCACCAACTTAACCCACATGTGACCCCTGAGTCACTTGTTCTTCATTCAGTATCAACGCTTCCTACATATATGTCTCTGTACCTATCATGCCCTACCAGATCCCTGCTGTCTGGTCTATATTCAGATCTCCTTGTGTGCACCTTCCTTCCCTGCAATCTGTTTTCCACACATTGACCTAACAATCCTTGTCATTGGTTTTGATAGGTTGGTTTTGTTTACCCCACTTTGGTCATATTTTTGGTATCTGTCTTCTTCTGTGCCTTTTGTTGTCTTTGGAAAATAAATTAAGTTTCCTGTGGTGGTTGACAGGGATAAAATGGTCATTAAAGCGTGTATGTATGCAGGGAGAACTGGTTCATGGTCAATGCCATTGAGTCTGTCTGTCATCACAGACTCAATTCACCTGTAGAAAGGGCGGGAACTTGTCATACCATTAATAATGTACATTTGGGGCACAGTTCAGTCTAAAAGTAAAGCAGAGTTCGGGAGATATTCACAGGTGTGAAATACTGTCAAAGACATTCATCCATCCACTATCGTAAGCGCTTCTTCCCAAATGGGGTCGCAGGGGGAACTGGAGCATATCCCAGTGTTCAATAGGCGATAGGTGGGGTACACCCTGGACGGTCCGCCAGTCCATCGCAGGGTCACACGGAAACACACAAGGACACACAAGGAAAAACACCTGTGGGAAGAAGCCGGAGTACCCAGAGAGAACCCACGCAGACACAGGGAGAACATGCAAACTCCACACAGAAAGGTCCTGGGTTGCCTGGGACTCGGACCCAGAACCCTCTTGCTGTGAGGGTTCTGTGTGTTTTGGTGTCCTCTAGATACTCAGTAGACTTAACCGGACATCATCAGCAGAATGGCCCCTTTTCTGAACATGACTATTATAATGTCGTTTAGAAAATCAGCATGCTGGAAATCAAAATCCATCTACTAGGTGTAAATGTGGGAATAAATAGAATATGTGGATATGAAACTACTTTACCTCTTGAAATGTTTTAGTTAACGAGCCAGAAGATCAGATAAGGTGTTGAAGTGGTCCAACGTAATTCCAGATACTTTGGTGGGTCAAAACTTGGGGATTCACAAGGTCCAGGAATCCAGCGTCTGCAGCGATGTGAATTAGAGAGTTTGAGGCCTATGAGATGTTCTCAGCAGATAATCTTACATCCACAATTCAACTACTTGTGGTCCAGGCATGGCCGAGGGGTAAAACACAGGAGGTCTGTGAGGCAAGTGTTATGCCTGACAGACTGAGGCAGTATTCAGCAACAGGGAATCAAAAACTTTACTCACAGGTCAGGACAAGGCAAAAGCAGTGGGCAGAGACAGGTTGGGCTAAACAAACAAAAAAAACAACAGGAAACCGCTTGGTTCATGGAGTAGTGCTTGAGTGGTATGTGAAAAGGCAAATGATCTCACACTGAGCAGGTGAAGAACAGGGGTTTGAATAAGGAGCAGCACAGGTCATTACAATGAGCAGGTAAGGGAGAGATAGTAAGCAGAACAACAAAGGCAGAACTGAAATCCTGACACCTCTCGCTAAACATAGTGGACATAATACTGCTAACTGACAACTAATGACCACTAGCAAGGCATTAGGAAACGGGAGGATGTTGCATTGAGTAACAAATCCTCAAGTAAGGTCTGAAATGCTCTTACTGCAAAGCTGAAGAAAAAAACATCTCACAGGGAGAAGATAGAACCAGCCTTGCCTGCTGATATCTGTGACACGGCCAGCTGGCCTGCACTACCAAGGACACCAAAGTCTTCCTCGACACCAGTTGTTGGCAGGACCAAAACTTGGACAGGTGTGAGTGGAAGACCAAAAAAAAGCCTCCTCTTCCTCAAACAATATGCCACCACAGAACAGATTTGCACTACTGCAAAACTGCAGCCATCTGATAACCATGATGAGGTTTGTTCAGACATTAATGTAAACTGGAGAAAAAAAAACTCAGAACGTCAACGGCTAAGAGGAAAGCTAATGCCTGGCCCTGAGAATTTGATTGTTGGTGATGCTGCTGTGAAGGATGTGGGAAACTGACAAAAACATTGTACTTCCCAAAGGACATGGTATCGGATGTGTGAGACAACATCGTGCAAATTCTGGCTGCACATCCAACTATCGAGACCCTGGTATTACTCCTGAGATCTAATGATATTGTGAAACAGCATTCTAGGTTGCTAAAACAAGACTTTAAGTAGTGGTTTGATGCAGTTAATGCTGTGGATGCAGGCGCGTTATTTAGTGGCCCTCTACCACCGATCCAAGGAGATGAGAGATTCAGCAGGCTGTTTAGCCTGCAGAAATGTCTGTCAGGTGTGTGCCATATACACCTTTAGTTTCATTGACATTTAAAAAAGTTTCTGGGACCACAGACATTACTTTCAGGCAGATGGTCTCTGCTTAAATAGATCTGAAGTAAGGCTGTTGATGGTTTGAGTAAACATTCTCCTCTGTTGTACAAGGACAGAAATAACCAAAAACTAGCTTAACCAGGAGACAGGGATGCCCTACTCCCCTCCTGCGCCTCCAGAGGACATTATCGTGGAGCTCTCTCAGACACCTCCTCCACTAAAATGCAGGAATGAAGACCCACCTTTATCTAGGTCCTCCTCCCCATCTTTCCCTCTGCTGGACTTCACTAACTGCATGGAGCTGGTCACTGTTTGCACCAAGATGTCCCTGTCCCATTCATGCATTTACCCCACCACAACCAACAAATCTCCCTCTCCTCGAACACCATAACGGAAAGCCCCTGTCCAACTGAGACAGCTTGTCCATAGTACCCAAAAACCCTGGCCGAAAAAACATCACCTCTTAAAACAGCCAGATAAATATTAACAAGTTCAAATTGATATGTCTCGGGTCCAGGCGGAAGCACTGTGTATACCCGTGGTTCTTTCCAGGATAAGTTAGGGCCTGATATTGAAGCAGCTTCCTTCATCTTGGTTTTGATATTTAACAGAGATTAGTCAACTTTCAGAGCCAAAACATTTAGTTAATTTATCAAACCTTGTTTTTACTACACATCAGCCACAGCCAACCCATAATACTAACACACTGAAGCTAGCTTTACTAAATATTAGGTCTTTACCAGGGAAAACGTTTTTCATTAATTATTTTATTTAATCTCACAACCTTGATTTTGTCGTTTTAACTGAGACATGGCTCAAGAAAACACCGCTGATGCAGTCCTGATTGCGGCTAGTCCACCTTTGATTTTGTTTCTGAAACACATCAAACCAAGAAGTCTTATTTCAAATGTGGATGTTGTTAATTTTGCTTTGTCTGATCCTTTTTTGTGTTTTCTTTGAGCTGTCTGTTACTTCCAAACCAACATTTGGGTCAACAGTTGTTCAAGGAAGTGTAAGATGACAACACGGGGCCACATTTTTTGGAAATGACTAGGTTTGAAAATACTCACTGTTTTAATGATGATACATTGAATTCTTACACATCAATAATCTTAAAGGTTGTGGATGCCGTTGTTCCTGTTTAGGTTAGAATGGTTAAAAGTAGAGACATGCACCATAGAGAAGAGAAGACTCCGTCAGGGCACACAAAAGGGAGTGCCAGAGAGCTGAATGGAAACGGCAGAAGTCAAAGCTCCAGGTTCATTTTGAGATCTACAAAGAGAAATCATTTGTGTTCTACTTGACTTTGCGTGGAATAGCAAAAACAGTGGAAGAAACTCTCATGTCCTGTTTGCAATAGTAAACAGACTAACAAGCTCTGAAGTCTAACTCTTTTCTACACTTAAATGTCATGAGTTTGCAATACTCCTTAATGACAGAGTTCAAGAAATAAAAGTGCAATCTTTTCCACAACACAATTAACTATCCTGTCCCAAGTTAGACATCTAGATCTGACACAGTTTGTACCTGTTTGTACCTTATCTGCAACCTGACTCCATTGATATATTGCCTGGATGAGTTACCCACTAGATTCCTAATGTCTGTGCTGAGCTGTTTGTCACCAGAACTTGCTTATCTAGTCAATAATCTCACTTTAGACTGGAACATTTCAAAGGCTTTAAACACTGCTGTCATTAAAGAGCAGTTTTGAATACTCCGTGCTGAATAGCTACCATCCCATATCAAACCTGCCATTCTTTGGAAAAGTCTTGGAAAAAGTT